ATGATGAAATAGTAGAGTATAGTAAAACTATTAATGAATAACATGATAAAGTCAATAAAACATGTTATGATGAAATAGTAGAGTATAGTAAAACTATTAATGAATAACATGATAAAGTCAATAAAACATGTCCTGATGAAATAATAGTGTATAGTAAAAATATTAATGAATAACATGATAAAGTCAATAAAACATGTTCTGATGAAATAATAGAGTATAGTAAAACTATTAATGAATAACATGATAAAATCAATAAAACATGTCCTGATGAAATAATAGTGTATAGTAAAAATATTAATGAATAACATGATAAAGTCAATAAAACATGTTCTGATGAAATTCACATGGTTACAACTTTAAACTCAATGCACATGGTTACAACTTTAAAGTGAATGTAAGTGGTTACAACCTTAAACTGAATGTAAATGGTTACAATTTTAAATTGAATGTACATGGTTACAACTTTAAATTGAATGTACATGGTTACAACTTTAAAGTGAGTGTAAATGGTTACTACTTTAAAATGAATGTACATGGTTACAACATTAAATTGAATGTACGTGGTTACAACTTTAAAATGAATGTACATGGTTACAACTTTAAACTGAATGTACATGGTTACTACTTTAAACTCAATGTACATGGTTACAACTTTAAACTGAATGTATATGGTTACTACTTTAAACTCAGTGCACATGGTTACAACTTTAAACTGAATGTACGTGGTTACTACTTTAAACTCAATGTAATTGGTTACAACTTTCATCAAAACACTTAAAATATTATGACGTACCCACATGAAGCCAAATATGTCAAGTTTCGTGTTCTAATTCGATTATCTAGGGTAATTATCTGTTGTATTTCTCAATTATTGTTATACCAAGTCATTAACTTATTGGAATTTTTCAATTTGAGCACAAACATACATGGGCTATACAGCCTGATTAGATACCCCCCCCCAAGAAATACTGCCCACAGCAAAGGTAGCCAGTCAGCAGCACCCGCCACTACCATGGTGTTGTTTGTCTCTTTTAATTGAATAACTTTATTGACTGTCACCTTTATAACGTGCCAGTAGCTGAAAATGTGAAGCATGTTCAGCGGCATTACGTCTCGAGCCCTGGACCAATCGATCTGCAGCCAGAACAGATAGCGACTATGCTACGTCAGGCTCATTTTCAGTAACAAATGTACATGGAAAATTAAATCTTTATACTTTAATAATATGTTTATTATACGTTACTTATTTCATCGGAGCATCTTTTATTGAATTGATCGTGTTATTGTCCCCCGGTGGGATAGCGGTAAGTCTTCTGATTTACAACGCTAAAATCAGGGGGTTCGATTTCTCTCGATGGACACACCAGATAGCCAGATGTGGCTTTTCTATAAGAAAACACCCCCAAATACACTCGTGTTATTCATTAATATTTTTACTATACTCTATTATTTCATCAGAACATGTTTTATTGACTTTATCATGTTATTCATTATTAGTTTTACTATACTCTATTATTTCATGAGAACATGTTTTATTGACTTTATCATGTTATTCATTATTAGTTTTACTATACTCTATTATGGTTACAACTTTAAACTGAATGTACGCGGTTACTACTTTAAACTTAATGTTTCCAAATATTGTACTAGTAGGTCTCTCCAGTCATTATACCAGTAGAATTTTGGCTGCACGGTGTTTTAGGGAATATCTATCCAAGCAGCACATGGAGGATCTTAAAACAGCCATCAAAATCGAGATTGCAAGAACCAATGAACAATGTCTGGACCAGATGGTACTCACAGTAGCTAGGGATATACTTGATATACTAATTGAGAATGATACAAAACGCATTGAACCATTTGTGACAGTTTTTGAAACACATTGTCCATTTCCAAAGTTCCCGAATAAAACATATGATTCCTACTATGCCCTTGGTGAACTCGAGTTGCACCATGACAAGTATTTTTAAATAAAGAATGATCTTTAAAATGGGGTTCTCTTTATATGTAGCTGTATTTTTAAAGCTTCAAATATATAACTAAAAAAGAAAATTGGAATACTTCACTCACAACCATAATAGTACTACTATTTCTTTATTTATACTCTAGCTATATTCAATCTTTTAGTAGTGGAAAATATGTGGAAACAAAATTTTATGTATTTTTAAACTATACATAATCCTGTGTATTTTTAGGTGGCTCTTAGCTTTATACCGGAACGAGAAGAAACGTGGGTCAATGTTGCAGTCCAAGAAAGTGATCCTTTTTGTATCCTTCTAGACTTTGAACATATCTAGTAACACACTCGTGTATAACGTTAACAGTTTCTTCTTCCTTACTTACGGAGAGTAGGCTCGTTATATATGTATTTTATATCATTGTAAAAGTTCGTGTGTGTTTTCGCGAAAGCCAGTGAAATTTTTCACAATTGTTGATGACGAAGTCGGATATTTTTCTGAATTATAGACGTAACTTCAACTGTCAGACGCTTGTCATGCGCAATAGAGACGTGATTTCAAATTTCAGACGTTTGTCATGCGCAATAGAGATGTGATTTCAAGTGTCAGACGCTTGTCATGCGCAATAGACACAAAGTTCGAATGTCAGACGCTTATCATGCGCAATAAAGACGTGATTTCAAATTTCAAACGTTTGTCATGCGCAATAGAGACGTGATTTCAAATGTTAGACGCTTGTCATGCGCAATAGAGACGTGATTTCAAATGTTAGACGCTTGTCATGTGCATTTAAAGACGTGAATTTAAGTGTCAAGCGCTTTTCTTGTATTCTGGCATATTTTATAGGTCGTTACAACTTGTTATGACATCTTTTCAGGCTAATATATCCGAGATATCTTATCTAATTTGCTATAGTATCCTTATGTTGAAGTATTTATTTGACTTAAGTATCATCACCAACATGTACCAGTGCCACTGTTGAGCATTTAAAACAAAAATTATCTGTTCATTTAACAAATGTGTAATTTTCTGGTTTTCCGCCAAGTAGTTCTATTTCTGCTTTAAACCCTTTTCTGTAAGTGTCAGATAATAACCTTCCATTAAATAGGAATTTTAGTTCAAAACAGAAAAACTATAATGTGAAATTTATTACTTAAAGTAACATGTTTTACGGGCTACTTTTGTGACATGGATAACTACATATTTGTAGTTTTAGATCTGATAATGTTATTGTAAACTATTGTTACGTCTCTGCTCGTTTGTTAATTTCCGGTATAAATTCTTTCCGAGGAACTTAAGCGATACAAGTCCTTTCTTAATCAAAACTAGTTTATTCTTTCTTGATATAACTTTGTAATACACAGAATTTCCGCCGTCACTTTAAACTTAACTAATCTTATAAAAACACGCTATAAATCACAGTGATTCACACACTTTACTTACGGCTTGACTCGATTATCTCTATCTTCAATCACTCTATCTATCCAATTCCTCTCCGCTTTATTTGCCGGGCCTATATACTAAAAAAAGAGGGCGCCTGGAACAGACTAGAGTTGCCAGGAAAAGTCATGATCCTTCTAGAATCTCATCACGTGTTACCAGCGTCACGTGACTTCCGTTGTCGTAGCACTATGTTTTCAATGGTGTAATTTATTTGTTAGCTAGAGGGCGTAGAATGCCTAGAAAATTCTAAGTTTACATCAATTTTTTCTCGCACGTTCGAAGCTAGATTATAAATACGAGTTAGTTGAAAGATAGTCGAGGAGATAGTTTTTTTCAAGTTAGATAGTTGAATCAATCAATGTATTTTCACGAAACATTTGGGTGTGTTTTCTGTTGCGCTTATCAAGTTACTTTTTTCGAGTTAATTTATTGGTCTTGCGTTAGTTAATGTAATTATTAATGTAAGTCTACAACAAGTGTAGAAACGTGAAAGGAGGAGATAAACTAACCCGTTACAGTTTACGTGGACTGGACTTTGAATTATTTTCACAGTATAATATGAAGGTGCCCGTCAACAAAAGATAAACGTTACAAAATATAATCAAATTATTAATCCGTTCAGATATAAATAAAACCTATACACTTTTCTGGAATTTCCTATGTCCATGCCTTTTTTAAAGAACATCAATTATCAGAGGCTTATGATAATCGGTGCTTCTCCATTCGTAGTTGTAACGATGTGCTGAAGAACATGTTAGGCATACCCACCAGAACCTTGTTGAAAGTTTGGAAAACCGTCTGGGTGTTGTGTTATATATATATTTAATGTTGTAACTTATTTCTTAGCTAGAAACAGCTGCGAGTTTGTTTTTTTTTTTTTTGACGTAATGTGATGTTAAGTTCACGTTAGACCTAGAAATATTTAGAACAAAAGTTGATATAAAACCGACGTTTAACGCCATTTGTAAACGAAGGTCTATCAAATTACGAGAGTTTAAAAGTGAGTTAAACTTATAAAAATGTTTAAAGGAGAAAATAAACTAATTTTGTCTAATTAAGTGGACTGGGTGTTCAATTACTTGCACCTGATAATTTAAAAGAACCCGCAAAGAATGAAAAACGTTACAACATTATAAAAAGTGAGTTATACTACAGTGGATTATAGAAAACAAAATAGGGGGGACTTATACCACAAAAAAATGGCTAATGTTAAATAGATGTTTTAATGTTTTTGTGGCCGTTAGCTGACTTTTCATCTAGAGGTGGAATTATTAAGTTAGGCCTACCTCTCAGTGAACGTTAAGTTATAATGTAGGTATCTAAAGCCGTAATCAACTACTTTTGTTATCGTTAAATGTGACTGATAAGTGGACTGGACTTTGATTTCTTCTCCTTGATTAACCGAACAATCGAGAACAGTAGAAACCATTACAAGAAATGATTTAACGATCGTTTAATCAAAATACTGCCACTACGTTCATGTTCATTTGAACGTTCATCATCCATTCTCTGCCGGTTTAATAATTACCTGAGGTGTACACAAACTGAAGAAAGGCTGGGTGCTCTAGCTTTAATACATCATCATTATGACACTGCTATCAACATTGAAATTGTATGTAAGTTATTTATGGAAATGCACCTCAGTAGAATAGAGCATGTTAACATGTTATTTCAGTAGTGCATACATGTACGTATCTGATAGCCAATGATTGAAATAGCTAAAATACTGTTACGTCTCTGGTCGTTTGTTAATTTCCAGTATATATTCTTTCCGAAAAACGCACACTATAATTCACAACGATTCACACACTTTACTCACGGTCACTACCGCTCGCTTGACTCAATTATCTGTCTCTATACCTCACTATCTGCTATTCTTTCCTCCGCTTTATTTGCCGGTCTTATATATACAAAGTAGAGAGCGTCTGGCAAACACTCGAGCCTTCATGATCCTTCTAGAAACTCCTCACGTGTTACCAGTGTCAAGTGACCTCTGCTGTCGTAACAATGCTATTGGTGTACAGAGTTGTTTAAATCAGTAATATAATTTAACAGTTAATAACTACTCTGCGTGTAGATAGTACAGTAATTTACTTTAATAAAACATACATATGTTACAACAGAATGATGATTTGTTGACTTTTCATTGAATTTTCGTGGATTTTTAAGTGAAAAACCACGCAATTGTTTAAACTATATTTCATGCAAAATTGCTTCCAGATTTAAATTCATAGCACCTATTTTTTGGTACAAATTTTCTGGGGGACATGTCCTCAGATTCCCGTAGAATTAGCATGCTTCGCACAATGTGTGTTAGCTTTTTATCTCACAAATTAGAACCCCTTTTTCAAACATTCTGCATACGGGCTTGAGTTAGACTTTAAATATCAGTTAAAGTTATTCACAGATTGTTTCTTAAGACTCATAACGTAAGTAAATTAATATGTAGAATTATATACGGACTTTTCTCTACGTTAAAATATTTTTCTTTTATTTGCGAACTTTCGACTCTCTTACCGAAGCCTTTATCGGTCAGCATTGTACTGCACAATACAAATTCGTTTATCTGTGTTTTTGTGTTTCACTAGTGCTCAGTACATTGTTGCCCGAAGAAGGCTCTTGTGAGAGGGCCGAAAGCTCGCAAATAAAAGTATTTTAGCTTAGAGAAAAGTCCGTGTATAGTTTTACACATTTTATGTGCAGAGTTGAGTCAGGACTGGGTCGTTGGAAATGTTTAGTTTATACAGGTTTAGAGTTTTAGTTTACTTGAAATTGACAAGGCTTAGCAATAATTAAGGACCTAATTCCTTGTATAGCATCACTCAGTTGTTTCATCAACATAAAAAAAAATATGTGCACATAATTATAATCGGATACTTTGTTTGTTTGGAAGCATTTAAAACCTATTGTTCACAAAAAACTGTGAACAAAGCAATATATGATATTCATATGAACACAGTCACTACTTAATTTATTATCACCAGATTTAAGTTTGTCCCAAGAACTCGACCCTTTCTTTCCAGTTCTTCGTATTCAAGCGAGGGGGCCGTTTCTACCAGACCAGTTCTCAAGTATCTCCAACGTTGATGTCTTTTTTACAATCGTTCACTTATCAGAAAACGAAACTAAAATAGTAAGTGGTTCATTCTGTTGTTGTTGTTGTTCTGTTACTATATCATTATCACTTCTTTAAATAGGCCCAGCATGGATAGGTGGTTAGAGTGCTCGACTCGCAATCTGCGGGTCGCGGGTTCGAATCCTCATCGCACCAAACATGCTCGCCCTTTCAGCCACGGGGCGTTATAATTTGACGGTCAATCCCACTAGTCGTTGGTAGAAGAGTAACCCAAGAGTTAGCGGTGGGTGGTGATGACTAGGTGCCTTCTCTCTAGTCTTACATTGTTAAATTAGGGACGGCTAGCGCAGATAGCCCTCGGGTAGCTTTGCGCGAAATTCATAACAACCTTCTTTAATTAGGTTTTGCTTTGTTACTCTTTGTAATACTTTTAAAAAATCTATAGTAATATGAATTAGTGAAATTCTTGAAGACTTAGGACCGGAAGTGGCCTAGTGAAAGTTCAAAGTTCGATCCACGATGTGTCAAAATGCTTCGCACTTTCAGCTGTGTGAGTTTATAACTCCGACAGAACAACTCTGTGTTTCGTTAAGAGTAGCCGTATGGGCGGCGAATGCTGCTGATTGGTTTCCCCACACACACTCTGGTTAGTAGTTCTAAATTACAGATGGCTTTGTCTAAGCCTTAAAGGTCAGGTCTCTGACCTGACAGTTTAACCCATATGAAGCATAAGAAGAAAATATCAAATCTCCAACTTCAACTCTTATGAAATGACTAACTAAACTGAATGTACATGGTTACTACTTTAAATTGAATATACATGGTTACAACTTTAAACTGAATGTACGTGAATATACCTGCTGGTTCAATGACTGGAGAGATCTACTGGTATAATATGTGAATATACCTGCTACTCCAGTCATTGAACCAGTGAATATACCTGCTGGTTCAATGACTGGAGAGATCTACTGGTATAATATGTGAATATACCTGCTTTCTCCAGTCATTGAACCAGATCTACTGGTATAATATGTGAATATACCTGCTGGTTCAATGACTGGAGAGAGATTTACTGGTATAATATGTGAATATACCTGTTGGTTCAATGACTGGAGAGATTTACTGGTATAATATGTGAATATACCTGCTGGTTCAATGACTGGAGAGATTTACTGGTATAATATGTGAATATACCTGCTGGTTCAATGACTGGAGAGATTTACTGGTATAATAT